ATATAATTTAACCAAGTTTTACTTTTACCATTTAGACGTCTGTCTAAACTCTTGATTTCGTCCAGCAACCTTAGCCGTGACGATCATTTCTATTCGTCCATCATCGATATTTAAGAAGGTAAGCTATGAGAACAAGAAATATTTTTAATTGGAAATCGTATTTGATAGCTCATATAATGAATTTTCATATACATTTCTTGCGCTGTTCAATTCATTGGTATGAAAATTTTAATTTCATTACATATATTTTTTTCTTGTTTTAATGATTATATCATTATTAGTTGGGCCCTTACATATACGCCGAGAAAATGTTTAGTAAATTTTTCAAATATTAATAAATTTATATATTTCGATAATTAAAATTTTTAACACTAATTAATTATAAAAATAATGTTCGTCATAATATATATGATCTTCAATTTAGTGAATAAATTAACGATTATAAAATCATATAATTTCCTTGATCCATTAAGAAGTGAAGCCATTAAATTATCGTAATTCCGAATGCTTTTCATCTAATTCGAACTGGAAAAGTTTATTAATATAAACTTTCTTGTTGAACGTTCAACGTCAACAGTTGAGATTATTCTTTCAAAAAAAAAATTGTTACGAAATTATTGAGAAGAGATTCAATTTTCATTTTTTATAAAAAATTAACTATTTGGCATTCGCAATTTATTTAAATAAGTAAAATATACAGCATTAATCGGAAAACATTTCTTCGATAATTATAAGCTATAATAGTTTTAAACGATATAAATTCTTACATTTCATGGTTGGGATAACGATAACGCCCAATATTTGTACAAAGTTAAGGTTACACTAAATTTTACAAAACGCCCAAGGCTGATAATCTATAGAAGTTTTCGATTCTTTTGCAGGATCAGTGCAGCACAAGAGGGATGAGAATTTCATTTGTAAAAAAAATAATTTAAATTCATTATTAAAATCTTTAAAGATGACCGACGATAATTACCATGTTTTTTAAAAATTTTTTTTTTGAACGTGTACATTTATTGATTTATTTTATTTCGATAGCTGCGCCTCGAATTTTAATATACGATCACTTCATGCATCGCTTGACCAAAGTACTGTCAGTTGATTATTAAATAAAAGTAGTAATAATAAACTTGAAATTTATGTAATGTACAAATTGAAATTTCAATTCTAGAAAAATCATTGTAATAACGCCAAATTGAAATCTATTCAACTAAGAAGTGTCGTGTCGTATTGACTAACCGAGATGAAAAAGAAATGATAAATAGTTTAACCCTTTTGAACTGATAATATAAATTTTGAGCGGGAAAAATAATATTTTTATTAACGGGAAAATTAAATTTTGATATATAGTTTTTTTCGAATTGCCGATTTTCTCCGTCGTCTTATTTTCTTAATAATTTTATTTTGCACAAATATAAGTAGATATTTAATTCAAGTAGATTTATTCATTTCTAGAAATCAATTAAGCTTAATATGAATATAAACTTATCTATATGCGATAAAAGCTAAATTATTATGATGCTAGAATCTAAAAAAATTACCAAATTCTAAATTCAATGTAAAAAAAGATTTACAATCTAATTTGGTTTAGTTAGTAACATCAATTAAATTTTTATCAATTTATCGACAAATGCATATATCGATAAGTACTGTATGTATATGCTAAATTCAAGCAGGTTATTTTAATTGTTTCAACTTTAATTTCTTTATGATTTATGTGACTTATGGCATATTGTACTGTAAATGGCTTAGTACTTAATTTTTTTTTTAAAAAAAAATAGAATTATAATTATAAAAAAAAAAAAAATAACAAATTTTCTTGGTAAAGATAGCATATTATTATTATTATTATATATATATATTCAAAAAGATACATAAATAAATAAAAAATAAAATTGTTTAAATCATAATAATAAATAATAATAATAATAAAATTTTCTTCATTTTTTCTTTAATTTCTTTTCGCCTTGTTTTAACTCACACTTTAGTAGGAAGGGTTTCCAAAGAAATAATTAAATCCGGGAATAGGTGCTAAATCCTCAAACAATTCCCCTGTAATTTTTGTTTCTTCAGAGGAGGTTAATGTCATCATTTTATTTGGTGTAGAAGACTCGCTTTTAACGTTGGCTGTCAAACCTAAAAAAAAAAAGATTAATATTAATTGCATTTATTTATTTAATTTCCAAATTAAGAAAGTAAATTTACTTGTAGAGACCTCCGGATTAAAGAATTCGAAAAATAAAGAATTATTTTTCTTCCGTTCTTTAATGGTCTCATAAAGAGACTGAAAAATATCACGCAAATCTTTCTCATGTTCTTTAACATATTTCCAAAGATCTGAGGCGACCCTTGAGACTTGGGAACGCTCATATTTTTTGAATAACCTCATGCATCTCTGCACCGAATTTCTAAAAATTATGAAAACTGTCGGTGGTTTACGACTGCTCTCCTTACAGGTTCTCAGAACGTCATCGTTCGTCGGGATGATGAAGGGAGTAATACGACCTTCGAGTTCAAACCAATATTCACCTTCATTTTGACGGTGAATAATGGCTTGGGGAGATGATGGTGAAATGGGGGTGGAATGTCTAGGCATTTTTTTAAACGAAATAATTTTAAATATATTACGATTTTGAAACGAATGGTTATAACTGTAACAACAAAAACTAATTATATAAAAAAAATGATAAATCAAAATACAAAATACTTTGGTCCTTTTTATAATGTCAAGGAGCCTGTTTAAATAAACTATTATAGGACAAATATGGAAGTTAATAATTTGAGTGGAGAATTTTGCAACGCACGTTATAATTTAATTATGTTTTGATCATAACGCACCTTATTAATCGATCAATTCATTTTATGAATTAGATATGTTTTTGTCTGTGCACATATTGTAATTTTTTATATACGTTCACACATAATGCATATCAATGCTTGATTGCAACATTTTGAACTTATTTAAAAAGGTATTAATAATGTGTAAATGTAAGTTTGCCAATTTAATTATTTAATGACTGACGCAAATGAAGAATTACGCGTTTGTTTTGGTAATTTAATGCTTTGGTGTTCTAAAATGGATTCCAATATCTTGCACAAGCTTCTTTTGCTATACTTTAAGGTGGTTAAATGTCGCCCTCAGCATATTCAAGTTTAAATACTGATAAGGAGCTTAATAATTTCCAACTAAAAAGTATTATTCCTTATACTTTCCTTTATATAGGCATGTGATACATGATCGACAACCAATTGAATATCATTAAAACATCATTGTTTTTTATTTATGTTTATAAAAATAGTTTGCTTCGGTTCTATCTATATGTATAATATTTGCACAATCTCATTTTTGGGTTTCAATATCTAGCTTGGTAACTCATCTTGAATTAAATTATATTAAGTAGAAATTTCCACACCTAAATCAAAAATGCTATAGGCAGACAAAAATACGTGAAATTACTTTAAATAATAATTAATTTTAAAATTTTTACAATAATTTGCATATTCTGAAGTAAATTGAAAAATTATATTAAAGATAAAATTATTTTAACTTGATAGACGATCGTTCTGTATATTTAAATTTATTTGGATTATTCATTGATTATATTTATGCTTAACATAATTATATCTGTGTTAACAACATGTAGATTTTAGCAACCATTATCTTTGTTAATTGATTCTGCAATATATGAAATATGAAATTTTTTTCATTTTATTCTTACTCAAGTTAAGGATTGGAATCAGTTCTAAAAAGTAGAGTCGATAATGTTATGATTAATCGATTCTATTCTTATTTTCTTTTAAAAAAAAATTATTTTTTATTTTTGGGTCTGAGCATTTCGGGTTACCTCCAATATTGAAACTTGCGATTCGCTGTGATGTTATGCAAATGTCTCCTCTTTAGCAAACAATTGAATTTCCAAAACAGCGCACGATAGAGGATTTTTATTTACCGTCCTCCCTCCCTCCCCTCACTCCTATAATTTTATTTGTTTATTATTATTATATGATGCAGGTTTCGCGTTGATAAATATGCCTTTATTTATTTTATTTTGCTCATGTAATTATTTATAGCATATTAAAATATTAGAGCGGTCATAATGCTTGACCAACAACTTGTTCATGTCCTATGGTTTAATGCTGAATTATCGCTTAATGCTTTCACGCTAGCAGTCATGTTTCAAAAACATTTATATCATTTCGATCGCTGATCGTGGCAATTAAATATTTTTTATTTCTCTGCCTTTTGATTTATTATTATTTTTTTTTTTTTTTTTAGTTCTACATATAAATTTGATCACTTTTGGAGGAATAGATAAGTTTTTTTTTTATTTCCTTGATATAAATAAAATGAATGGTTAAATTTGTTTCAGTTACGCCTCGGGCATTCCTATTTTTTTAAGGTGCTACAGAACCTAAACTAATGATTACCATACATAAATGGAAAAACCATACATTACATTTATGAATAAATCCATAGAAGTTTAAACCCATTTATAATATATTCTAGGTGTTTGTTCGTTTTAAAAAATATGACTTACTATGCATTATTTATTATAACATAAGTAATAATACGTTCTTTTATTACAATTTATTTATTAAAAAATAAATATTTTTATTAATTAATTTTTCCAAAAATAAAAAAAAAATGTCTAATTTTATATATAAATTCGTATCTCATGAAATAAATTTTATTTTAAATTTAAGTTTCCTTTTTGATTCATTAGTTCTTGTATGGTTTTTCCCATATATGTATGGAAATAGTTATTTGGTATAAAAACCATACTTTCAATAAATAGAAATCCATCCCATACGTATTTGCTATATATCTCTATTTTTATTATAGCCGAACTTCTGCGTCATTAAAAAAGATTTTTGATTTTCGATCCTAATAGAATCCCTAAGCAGAACACATCATTGGCTATTAGCCTAAAATTTTGTTTCATCTACAACAATAATAATTGAAACAATATTATGCACTTTATATTAAAATTTAATTTTATTTATTAATTTTTCCAGACCCGGAAATTTAAACGTTCCAAATTTTCCCAAATATTCTCAGGATTTTCAGGAGTCCTTCCGTAATATGGTTAAATTGATGCAATGCAATAAAAATAATTCTAGAATTTTTAGTAAAAGGTTGTATCGGTTCAGATAATATGAAAGTCGGGTTTATATTCTTCCTTTTCTTTGTTTCCTTATTTGATTAATTATTTACTTTTTCTCCTGGTTCTTCGTGTTCAAACGGATGTTCCAATTTCTTTTTTTTTAAAAAATTAATTTTAATTTTCCTATTTTAGGATCATCTTGTTCATATTTGGAAAGTTATATGATTTCCGAAGATCATTATTAGCGTAATACAGTAAAACAATAAAATTTTAAGAAATATGAATAATCCTTGCAAAATATTTCAAATTTGCTTTATCATTAAGAAGGATATAAAATAAGTAGATCTTTTTTATATTCATACTTTTAATAAATTATTTATACTAATGAATTAATCATTTTTTTATCGTCTTGAATTAAATTATTTTCAGTCAATGATAACAATTCATAACAAGCATCAAGAATTTTTATATTTATTGTTAAATAATATCTCTCAACTCATACATTATGAATCAATTTCTTTAAGGTCTGATCTAACGGACTAAATCTTTTAATATTGATAATAACACTTCTTATAAAAGCGATTTAACAATCTAAATTGATTTCTACAATATCTACACCTAAATTTAGCAAACGTAATTTTGCGCTCAACCTATTAAAATCCAAAGCTTGTCCAACTTGTTGAACTTGAAAATATTAATTGCAACAAAATTAGAAAGGTTCATTTTTAATTTTAAAAATAGATAAAAAATATAAAAATAACTAGAAATATTTAAGTTCGAATAATATTGGTCAATTTAATTAGTAAAAAGTCATACGTTATGGATTGTGCTACGTTCTAAATGAAATGAGTGAAATACACAAAAGATCACTTCCATAATCATAATTAGATATTATGAAGCAGAAACAATGATTTCGTTATTTGGTAAAGATAATAATAAAATGAATCATTTCATTATTATAATTCAACATTTTTAACTTATAGAGAAGAATTGATAATTTCATACTACTTTGTATATTTTGAAATAGTAATCGAAAAGTTATTCAGTACAATTACCCTTCGAAATCATTTAAATAATAATTACCCAAAATATTGACCTCTTGAAAAATTTTCACAACATGTATAATACACATAAGAGATACATACTGTAAATACTAATTGAATAGATACCATACTCGAGAGCCGTTCCATTAAACCAAAGGATAATTAAATTTAGAAATATTGCTTATCACAGGAAAAATTAATTATTCTAAAAATACAAAATAGAAAATTCTTTTGAAATAATATAAAATGATAATTTATGTTATATATACATACACGTTTATTAACGATGAATCAAGTAGGAATTTCTTTTACAAATCCTTGTCTTATATAATTTATATGAAAATATAGACTTACAAAAAATAAATTAATTTTATTATTATCCTTTATTCTCTTTCTGCCCATCTAAGAACTTCATGCCTCAAGGATCGATGCGATAAAGTCTCTTTCTAAAATAAAAAAATTACCTCAAAAAAGAAAATTAAAAAAAATATTAAAAATAAAGTTCACAAAAGAAAGATAAAATGTCTGATCGTGATTTCAACAATTTCAACGAAAGATTTTCGTTTAAATCAAACGGAATTTCATCGGAAAATAGCTATCGATTGTAATAACGATTTTGAATCTAAAACTTTAAATCAAGTCCGCAAAAAATCGGTTACACAAAATCGATATCCAAATATATGTATATCTAAGCTAAGTGCACAAAATTAGCTTAATAATTAAAATTAACAAAAATTTCGGATTTCCCCTTTTAACTGACCGCCTCCCATATATACTTTTCTATAAAAAGCATGGTAGTCTTGGACAACAATTATTAGAGATCTTTGAGTTAATTTAGAATTCTGAAATTCATTTTATTGTATCAAGTACTTTAAATAATAAAAGTAAATCAACTTAATTTAAATTTTGGGTGAAACAATCTAATATTTTTAATATTTTGTTAATAGTATATAATTGTAACATAAAAAAAAAAAGTTTTAAAATCGATAAATAAAAATAAAAAAAACCACTCAACAAGGAAGTCACGCGATAGACATATCTTGAATAATTTTGATTAATTTGTTTTTAAACATCTTTAGCTTTTTAATTTCTATAAATAAAATTATAAATGAAGCTCTATATTGTTTTTATAAATTATTATAACTGTTATACTTAAAAATTAAAAAAAAATAACACCATTTTTTATTTTCAAAACTGGAATAAGTAATCAGTTTTTGCCGATTAACTTTTCGATTTTAATTTTTGAAATGATTCATATTCATTATTTTTAGTATAATATATTTTTTTAATTTACTATAACAAAACAATATTTAAATAACTTCATTAATAATATAGAGTGGATAAATATATATTAAAAATAAATAACATTTTATATATTTGTTAATAAATATTTTATAAACCAAATAATATTACAAATAAATGCAATGAGTATCTAATTCAATTGAAGA